GAGGACTGGTTTGCAGCATTCACAATTACCAATTAGTCAAATCCCCCAGGCAGGCAGAGAGTATGGCCTGGGTGTGTTCCCTCAGCACTATCACTGTCTGATCTGTTAATTACCAAAGGAACATACCATGTCTGTTTTTCTCTAACTCAATCTGGTTCTCACTCGCACACGAGCATTATGAACTGAGGTAATAACTTTGTGGTAATAACAAAGTGGGTAATCCTGTAAAGACACCGGGTTGTTTACACAGGGTCAACTGTCTCCCTGCGAGGATAACATCGAGAAAATCCCAAGAAAAGAATCGGCCAGGTTCTGTAAACAAGGCCCAGCTTCCATCGTCACATCAAACTGGGTGTGTGCCCAACTCAGAGAGCAGCACTGAGTATGAAACACCCAGGGATCCCCATCAGCTTCACTCTGGGATCGGGGCCAGGGATCAGCATGGGAGGGGCCAGGATCAGAGGGAACAGGAATGGGGGAAATGTGGATTGGGGGATCAGGGGAACGGGGGTCAGGGGGATTGGGGAGAACAGGGATTGGGAGGAACACGGATTGGGGGGATCGAGGGATCAGGGGACATGGATCAGGGGAACACAGATTGGGGGAACAGGAATCATGGGGAATGGGGATCAGGGATATCAGGGGTAACTGGAACCAGACAGAACGGGGATCGGTGGCGGGGGTGGGGGGGGGAGGACCAGATACCACGGGGAGCCTCATTGACACAGTCTTGTTCATAAGCAAAAGCTCTCCTTTCCCAGAATGCAGTTGCAATAAACACAGAACCACCTTCACCCACAGTCCTGTGGCAATTATTATAGAACATGGTGCTGGCTTGTAACTCTGGACAGTGCCCACTTGTACCTGAATACATCCTGGATCCGTACCAGGGCACAATGCCCACCTCTATCTGAATTCTGTGCCTGAGCACATTGCCCTTGTGTACTGAAGTACGGCCCACATCTCCCATGTCACGTATCTATACATCACTTCCCCATTTCAAATGTGTCACAATCCCATGTCATGTATCATTTGTGAATTGCGAGTAACCAATGACTGGTTTTAGTAAAGATTTATGAAAAGGCTTCCCTATTAAGAGAAGCTGTACGATTAAACTCTTTTTCCCCAATAGCCTGAAGACACTGACACAGCCATAACTTGTCACCTGCACAAGCACAGGCTGGAGCTGGACGGTTCAGGGGCATGCTCCTGGAAGCAGGAACCCTGGATAGAGTCACAGGGAAGACCTTAAAAGCAGACATCCTGCCTGTCACAGTGCTTCAGCAGGGGCCAGTCCAGCACGGGGTACAGAATTAGGGCATATCTCCAGCAGAACGCAGTGTGTCTCTACTCCAGTCCAGCAGAGGACAGTGTTGTTAGTGCAGCCCAGTGGGGCTGGAGAGACTGAGGAGGTGTTACTCCATTTATGCAGGGGACAGTGACACTGTTATTTCTCTCCAGCAGACATTATGTGATGTTAATTTATTCTGGCAGGAAAGCATTCTGAGATTACTCTACACCAGCAGACAGTCTTGCATCGTAGCTTCGCCAGGTTGACTCCTCTATCAGTTGATGCTCTTGGTTTAAAAACCAAAAGAACTGCAGATGCCGTAAATCAGGAACTAAAACAGGAATTGCTAGAAAAGGTCAGCAGGTCTGGCAGCATCTGTGAAGAAAAAATTCAGAGTTAATGTTTTGGGTCCGGGTCCAGAGTTCTTAGGAAGGGTCACCGGACCCAAAACGTTAACTCTGATTTTTCTTCACAGATGCTGCCAAACCTGCGGAGGTTTTCCAGCAATTTCTGTTTTTGTTCTTGTTCTTGGTATGCCCTCCTGCACTCTCCATTGAGCCAGGGTTGATGGCTGTAGAGGATATACCAGGATCAAATTGCAAATTAAGGTTGTAATTTTTCCTTATTTTTCTTTATTGTGTTTTATTATAATTTATAATAGCAGATATAATTGTTATGTTGCTATTATATTCATAAAAATTGTTGTTTCACATGTTTCTTGCTGTTGTCACACATTTCTGTAATGTCCAGAATATGGTGTTGAAAAGCTAAGACTTCGTAAATGTTAATCTGTTCCAACAGGGGGCAGTGTTGTCCCACAGTTCCAGCAGAGGTGGTAGCAGCGCCAACAGGTGGCAGTGTCACATTCCAGTACAACAAGGGACAGTGTCGCATCCCCATACGAAGGAAAAAACCGAAAGATCTGCAGATGCTGGAAATCTGAAACAAAAACAGAAATTGCTGGGAATTATTTTGTTTTTGTTTCTGATTTACAGCATCTGCAGTTCTTTCGGTTTTTATTTTGCCCAGATATATTTTGTATGGTATGTTCTGTCTTTATAACATGCAAAACAATGCTTTTCACTGTATCTCGATACATGTGATAACAATACATCAAATTCAAACTGTAAACAAAAAACAGGACAAATCCAACCTGGCCAATTACTGTCCTATCAGCCTACTCTCAACCATCAGTAAAGTGATGGAAGGGGTCATCAATAGTGCTATCAAGCAGCAACTTATCAGCAATAAAATGCTCAGTGACACCCACTTTGGGTTCTGCCAGAGTCACTCAGCTCCTGACCTCATCCCAGCTTTTGTTCAAACAAGGACAAAAGAACTGAATTCCAGAGGTGAGGTCAGACATCAAAACTGTATTTCATTGAGTGTGGCATCAAGGAGCCCTGACAAAACTGGAAACAATGGAGCCAAACTCTCTGCTGGTTGGAGTCATACTGGCACGTAGAAAAATGGTTGTGGTTGTTGGAGGTCAGTCATCTCAGCTCCAGAACATCTCTGCATGAGTTCCTTGGGGTAGTGTCCTAGGCCCAATCAGTTTCAACTGCTTCATCAATGATCTTCCCTCCACCATAAGGTCAGAAGTGGGGATGACTGCACGATGTTCAGCATAATTCATGACTCCTCAGATACTGAAGCAGTCCATATTCAAATGCAAAATTTGTAAAATAAACAGGTATGGGCTGACAAATGGCAAATAACATTTGCACTGCACAAATGCCAGGCAATGACCATCTCCAACAACAGACAATCTAACTACCGCCCCCTTGACATTCAATAGTGTTATTGTCATCGAATCCCCCACTATAAACATCCTGGGTGGGTTACCATTGACCAGAAACGCCACTGGGCTCTCCACATTATCACAATGGCTACAAGAGCATGTCAGATGCTAGGAATATTGTGGTGCGTAACTCACCTCCTGACTCTCAAAAGCCTGTCCAAGTCAGGTGGTGAGTCAGGAGTGTGATGGAATACTCCCCACTTGCCTGGATGAGTGCAGCCCCAACAACACTCAAGAAGCTTGACATCATCCAGGATAAAGCAGCCTGCTTGATTGACACTACATCCACAAGCATCCACTCCCTCCATCACTGATGTTTTGCAGCAGCAGTGTGTACTATTTACAAGATGCATAGCAAAAATCCTCAGATAGCACCTTCCAAACCAATGACTTCCATCTAGAAGGACAAGGGCAGCAGACACAAAGGAATACTACCACCTGTAAGTTTCCCTGCAAGCCACTCCCCATCCTGCCTTGGAAATATATCGCTGTTCCTTCACTGGCGCTGGGTCACAATCCTGCAATTTCCTGAACAGCATTGTGGGTAAACCTCCAGCACATGGATTGCAGCCATTCAAGAATGCAGCTCACCACTACCTTCGCAACTAGGGATGGGCAAAATAAATGCTGGCCAGCCAGTGATGACCACATCCCATAGGACAGTACTGCATTCTGCACCTACACTGGTGCCTACAATGGTTATCACACCATTCCAAGATGGGGTAGAGTTGTTATTGTCAACCAAGAGGCAGGAGAGTTGGAATCCTCTCCAGCAGGCAGCAATGTCACACACAAATACAACAGAGGGCAGCGTTGCACTCCTGGATAACAAGAGGCAACATTGCACTCGGCCAGTGTTGTTATCACACTCCAACAGGGGGCAATGTTGAACACTGGTGCACCAGCAGGCAATATTACATTCTCCTCCACAAAACAGCAGTGTTGTCATGCCACTGCAGTAGTATCACACTCTGGTACAATGGGGACAGTTTTACACTCTGCTCCAATGGGGGTCAGGTTGCCACAACTCCGTACCTCTCTGTTGCATTCCAGTCTAACAGGGGACAGTCTTGCAGTCCACTGCCACAGGGGGAAAAGTTATTACACAGGTACAACAGGGAGCAATGCTGTCATTCTGCTCCAACATCGGGCAGTTCTGCATTTCAATACAACAGGGACAGCTTGTGCTGGAGTGCAACACTGCCCTCTGTTGTATTTGTGTGACATTGCTGCAGAATGCAGTACTGTCCTGTGGGATGTGGGCATCGCTGGTACATCAGGGACCCACAGCATCCATTCTGTCAGGATTGATACCATAACTGCCCTGTTTATCTGTTAGCCACTGGCCCAATCCCAGTCTACTGTGTCCCAAATGGAACCACCCAGGGAATTGGAAAAACAGCCCCTGTGGGCAGACCCAGACCCAGCTTTTAGCAGAGATAGTAGGAACTGCAGATGCTGGAGAATCTGAGATAACAAGGTGTAGAGCTGGATGAACACAGCAGGCCAAACAGCATCAGAGGAACAGGAAGGCTGACGTTTCAGGCCTAGACTAGGTTGCCAGGAGTGGGAGGGATGAGATCACAGAGGGGTGGCCAGTTTAATAGTTACCTAGGAGTTAGAGCAAGGCTTTCATCCTCAAACATTTCCCGGGAAAGTGTTAGGCTGAAATAAGTTCGAACCTCTGGAATTCTGTAACATACAGGGACCGTTCAGTGGGTTACAGACACAGGGGGAAATGGCCATTGGAATTTCCAATGGTCTGGAGAATTCTCTCCGAGCCTGCTGTGCTGGGAATCCTGCATTATATTGACCCACAGCTCCTGTTTACACATGTGGAAGCAACAATCTGGTCATGGGAATATCCAGACCTACAGACTCCAATATTTCACACAGACACACACCAGCACCAGAGAAAAAGTCACTTTATTACAAAACAGAGAACACAGCAGCCCTCTCCAACTGAGAGAATGTTGGAGGATTTGTCCAGTACCTTTCTCAGGCAGTACCAACTGTAATAAAATGTAAACTCAAACTGGGGGGAGTGGGAGGAGTGCGCTGAGACTGCCCTCACATCTCCTGCCAAGCCCCCATACTTGGAGAGAGAGAGAAAAAAAGTGTTCTAAAGACATTTCAAATCACAGTAAAAGTAAACAATGTTCACGATGCACACAGACACAGAGGGGGTTAGATATGACCTGTTGACTCAAGAATGAGACATTGCCAGACTAACTGAGTATGGCGATAGCGTTGCTGGTCTGAGTGAGGATAGGATAGCAATGCAAACCACCTGTAAAGTGCTGCCTGCTACCAGACAGTGCCTGAACACGTACACAGAGCAGGGACTGAGCTGGAGTGAGGGGGGGTTCAAGTGTTGTTGGAGTGATCAGAGCAGACAGCCAGTGTGTGACAGTGGGATCTCTGTGCCAGGGAACAGAGGAGACCTGTCTCAGTTAGACATCACCGGCTGTAGATCAGATGAAAGTGGAATCGAGTTGGCTGCTGTCGTGATGGCTGTGGGAACGAGCGGTGAAGAGCTGTTTTATCAGGGCCACCTTCTCTTGTTCCAGCTGGGTAATGCGATCACTCTTCTCACTAACCTCCTGCAACAACACAATCATTAGAACAGAGTGCCCCAGCTTCCTGACTGCAGACCAGGCCTGCAGCATCCCCTTCACCAGGGTCAGACCCAGACCGCAGGCCCTAGCCCCAGTCAGTTTGCACAACATCTTCTCACGCCCTCAGCCATTCCTCCCTTACCTCACGCTCGATTCCTAACTGAGCGATCCTGCGCCACGCTCCCTCAGTAACCGAGCGATCCCACGCCACGCTCCCTCAGTAACCGAGCGATCCCACCTCACGCTCCCTCAGTA